TGCCACGCTGCCCCCCCCCCCATCCCCACCAAAACTCTATCCTACATCCCTATCCCCCCATCTTCCAAACCGTCACCTCCAGGCATCTCCATCCCCTTAGGTTTGGCAAGGAAGGACAGTGACAACTCACCCCGGCTGCACCTGCGAAGGAGCAGTGGGGGCACGGAGCCCCGTGCCCCCACTGCTCCTTCGCAGGTGCAGCCGGGGAGCTCCCAGCACACACACGTGGCTTTTCTTCTCCCTGCGAGGATTTCAGGGTGGAGAGAAAACACAGGGCTGCATTTCCTTACAGGAAAACCAGCAGCTACGGTCCACAGCAGGTGCATGTGCCATCTCTGAAGCAGCGATGCTGACCCTAAGCGAGGCTGCTGCGGTTCGAAATACAGCTTCCAGGCACTGTGTTTAAAAAAACAGAGTTGGGTTTCAACTTTACAGTTAACGATGAGCCGTATTCATGACCTGGGCTCTGGTGAGGCTTGCTACCGAGCAAAACAATGGCATAAAACAACTTTCTTCTTCCTCTGTGCAATAAGGACACAGGGATCTGCAAGCGTGGTGGCCAGCCGCCAGCGCAACCTGGATGGGGGAAAGAAGCAGAGCTGCAGATTTCAGTTTTAACAAGTTTTAGGCAAATTCTAAAGTATTAGGTTGTATCTTGCAAATCCATAACACTGCCAGGTTTAACAGGGTTTCCATTCATCAGTGCAGGACCATGCATAAAACACAGTTTTATTGTGCTCAGCATGAAACTGTTCTAATTATATCTATGAATAATGATAGAAAAGGGAAAACCCTTGGTAAATCCATCAGGGTACATTTTCTTCTGGCCCTGATCCCCCCCGAAAAGCAGCAGGTGTGTTTTATTTACGTGAGTAGCTCCCTTGCGTAAGGGTAAGGGGATGTAACACCCAATTCTGCCCCTCTCGTCTGTAGAATAAGCGCTACCGGCAAAGCAGAGCTGCCACTCCACCAGACTCATGTGCATGCTTAATGTTATACAAAGGGATCAAGCGAGGTGTAAATTTAAGTACACACACAACGGCTTGCTGGATCACAGCCTAACCTACGACTCCGCAGATGAGAGGAACAGACCAGATCCCTTAATTCTGCCCGGGGACGGAGGTGTGAAACGAATTTAGCCGTGCCAGGCTAGAGCAGCGGGATAAGCCGCTTACCACCGAAATTCAACCAACTTCCAAACGGTCACAGAAATAATAGTCATTAAAACATGTCTACGCTAGTGGGAAGGGGAGGCGTATCCTCAGATCGGCCCTTCTTTGTAGAAAAGCCGTGTTTGCCTCCACGCCGAGGGGCTGTTTGCAAGGTCAAAGCTAGTCCCGTGTTAGGGAGGTGTGAAGGCTTAGTCCCAAAGCCAGCTGCGCTACGAGCCCACCGCAGTGAAGAACTCGAAATTGCCAGTATTGGGTGACAACGGAGGAAAGCAGGTGTGATAGAAATGCCACCAATGCCCCGTTAAGCAAAACTCGAGCGTAAACAGCACCCCCCATGTCCTGTAGCGCTCAGCTTCTTGGTGAGAGTTTTCAAAACCCCAGCAGGCAGAAGCTTTCCAAGGTGCATCCCCCTTTCGAGCTGTGTGAGCAGCTCCCAGGTCTGTTCTTTGGGCAGCTGATGAGAATTGCCAAGTACCTCTTCAGGCAGGCAGAAAGATGATAGCAACTGGTGTTAAGTGCTCTCAGCACCTCCCTGCATCGGGCGGCTAGCAAGTGTGCCGGTGCTCTGCTTGCTGAGCAAACAGTTTCGAAGGCGGCCCTTCATCCTCCGTTTAGAGACCACAAAAGCATTTGGCTGCAAGGAAAAGCAGAGACAAAAAGCCCAATGGGTGTAACTGGGGACAAGCGCGGACTCCAGGGTAAAGGGCAACCGGCAAAACCACGGATGATTTGATTCCCTGGCAAGAAAGCTTGAAAGCAGAGATAGGCAATTTGGTCTTGGAAACACAACCGGCAACGCATTTTGGGGGAAAAAGAAAAGCCACCCTGAATCCTGACCGCCTCCCACCGCCGTCTGCGCATGCAGTCAGAGCACGGCTGCACAGCCGGCTCACTTCAGGAGGGAGGAAAAGGGATGAAAACCTCTTAAAAAAATGATTACTAGTACGAGCAGGTGCTGCTGGAGCAGCCCCGTCCCTAGCTAACGCACTCTGCACCTCGATGACAGCGTGATTCCATGTTCATGGCAGCAACTAGGAACGGGCAGCAGCAGCCGCCGCCAGGTCGTTGCAAAACAACTAAACACCAGCATCTTCCATTTTTCAAAGGGTTCATCCTCGGGTGAGTTGAAAGCCTGTGTCGCTATTCTTACCAAAGGCGGAGATTTACAAGAAAAAACAGTCGTCTTCAGATCTCTGAAGGATTCACAATGGTATCAAAGAGTTTTGCACTTCTTTTAATGGAGAAAACACCTACAAGGCATATGTTTTTTGACACGCTCCAAAACGGTCACTGGAAAAAGCTCTTACCATAAATGCTTTCTTATTAACGTAGTTGCATGCTGGAAGTTTAATTACAGAAACTATCAATGCAACAGGAGATAAACACTTTGCTTTTGAAGGGAATTAATTTATTTGGAGATCTACATCACACAGGCACACTGCTGGAGATCCAAGCAAAGCCTGACCTCAATATCGTTAAATCATGCTCTGGGGAGCTCTCTTGGATTTTAAATACTTATTTTAAGACAAACTTCCTTCTTCTGAAATAAAGCCATGCTTAAACATCAGCGATGCCCCAAAAGCCACCTGCACCAGTTTTTCTAGTTGTTTTCTTGGAAAACAGACAGGCAACTTTACGACATTTAGGTTATCAACGGGGAAAGGAGGCAGAAGGACCCCGGTTCCGCCAGAAGGCAATACGTGTAGGAAAAGCTGCAGGGAAATGCCACGGTTCCCGGCTGTAATGTGCTTTTGAGGAGTCACGAGGCATCCCTGCTTGGAATTCCCAGGTTCCCATCCAAAATTCGTGTTTTATAAAAACATTTGACCAATGAGTTGCGTCCCTCTGCGCACAGAGCGGACCTGCCGTGGCAGCCGTGTTGCCGCTTCAGGAGAAAGTCAGCTGCCCAGACGTCGCGTAGTAGCCAGAGGCATCCGAGGAGAACCTCTGGGAAAGACGCACCGAGTCCAGCTGCACCTCTCCGAAGTAGAAGTTCTCGAAGAGCTGAAAGAAAGGAGAAAAACCATTTGATGGGCACCTAGAGAAATGCAGCCTTCAGCTGGTCCATGGATCTCTCGCAAGAGCTGGCCCTGCAAAGAGCCTCTACTCATAGACTTGTTTCGCCTTTAATGAAGCTATTCTTTAAATTATTTTTCCCCCTAGAGACTGCACTTAGCCTTTAAAGCAAACAGGGTATAAAATTAACACCTCTTTTTATCTACAGCAGCAGTTGCTCAAACCTTCCTTACTCTGCTTTCTGACTGTGTCTCATTTAGGGAGCTTGGGGAGGCTATTCACCGCCTGAAGGCCACCACCCCGGGGTGGCTCTTGAGGTTGCAGGCTCCGCAGGAGGGAGGATTGAGGCCAGGACGTTTTTACCAATCCAGGCCACAGGACGTAGGACTTAACAGTTACGGCTCAGTCCTAATTCAAACTAGCAGGCTAGAGGCGCAAGGCTCTTCATCCCAGCACTGACCCCGCTTTGTTCCACAAATCCTTCTTTGTTCGGCAAAGACTTGAGTGCAAATTAATGAAAGCAAGCCAACTCTGGGACCCTGAGGGCGTGTCTCTGCTGATTAATCCAATCTATGAAGCAGACCAAAAAAATGACATCAGAATTTCTTACAGGGAAGTTCAGCAATATTGCTGGAAAGGCATCGTGTCCAAGCGTAAAGTGCTCCTCCTGTTCCATTATGACGCAGGAAATTGCTCTACCTGGAAACATCAATTGTGCCTTGGAAAAGCTTTTCAGTGGAGATGCTAATTTCAAAACTCTGCTTAACGGGAGCGCTGTGAGTCACCGGGGGCCTGAGCAGTGACATCTCCCCACCACAGAGATCTCCAAAACGTCCATTCCATCTGTCTCCTATTGAATTTTCTGCACACCCCTTCCTCCCATTACAGAAGGCACAAATGCTAACGGCCAGCATAAGCTGATGCATTAATTACAACACATCCTCCTAGAGCCAATGGTGCATCAATTCCTCCATACAGCCAATGACCGAAACCCCAAATACCTAGTTAGCATCTGAAAGGCTGCACTTTGCCTCCTCCAAAAAGGCATTTGGCTCCGCCTGGCACTGATCTGGGCACAACTGCTCTTTTGTTGGTTCTCCCAAGGGCATTCTACTTTGCAAATACCCCTTTTTCACAAGGTGACCAAGCTAGGTTTCTTTCAGCACGATTCCTGGTCCTCCACAAAGGAAAAATGCCTTAGGGAAAGCGATTCCCTGTCCATCTTCAGGGCACAGCAAGCAAGGCTTCTTCCAGGGAGCACCACCGAGGTACTGGGCTACAGACCAGATGCCAGGCACCAGGATGAAGCCAGCCCCTGCTCCAGACTGCCAGCTCATCCGGACAACTCTCCACTCAGGATTTGGCTGAGGCCAGCAATTCCTCATCAACGCACGACAGTCAGACCGGCATCTCTGAAGAGAAGGGGTATTTATGCGTGCCGAGCCAGCTCTCAGCGATTGCTAAACCCCCGCTTCAGCTTGAAACGGCTGCAGCTGCAGTCAGACGTGCTGCAGAGTGCTTGCTGCCAGCAGCCCACCTGCCAGGGACCACCTCCTCCTCCCTGGACCTGCCTGCGTGGCAGCACCAGCAGTTGACCCCCCCAAGCTGCTCCTGCAAAAAACATCTGGGTTAGCACAAACGCCGCGAACAACTGGGTTTCTCTGCGCCGGAACATTTAGTCACAGCGTGCCTGCCTAGGAAAGGCGGTGGGCAGCCTCCGGCTCACCTGCACCTCATCCTGCCTTTGGGGTGACGCTTGTCCCTTAAGACCCCGGCACAAGGACTTACTTCGCACAGGGCCTGAAGTAATTCGCCGCTAATCGCTCAAACTCATATAAAGCCACAACTTGCTGTCCGTTCGTTCGTCCGCGTGTGTACTCGGCAGGAGCCAGGAGCCCCGCCACGGGGGTCACGCAGGTCCCTGTCCCAGCGAGAGGCCCCGCCGCAGCAGCCTGGCTTCAAGGGACACTCTGTGTGTGTGGCTCCATGCAGCTGCTGCCCTAAAGCGAGGCACCCTGTTGAAAAGTAGTTGTGCTAAGGGAGCGTCTCAAACAGGGAGAGGCGGAAAAGAGAGACAAGAAATGACTACAGCCATATAAACTCCATTTTATATAATTAAAGATTTATACAATTAAAGATTAATTATGCTCCCAAAAGCCTGCGTAGTTCATGTTAGAGGACTTAGGATAAAAAGTCTCATTAATAAGTGATGGTAGTAAAAAGGGGTTGGTCTCCTTTCTCTTTTTGTTTTGGCTGATCTGAGAAGGAAGAATGATTTCCAGCTCTCCAGGGCTTGCCGCAGTGCTTGCCGCCAGCTTGCCCACTCACCCCAAACCTTAACACCCATCTCTGTCAAAATGGTTGTTCATATCAACACTCCTTTCCTTCCCAGAGCATTCTCCACCCAGGAAAAATGGAAATAATTTCTCTCCATTCCTAACGGAGGGAGCGGTAGGTACATTGGTAAGCAAGGAGATACTAGGATTTGTAAAGTATTTTTTTAAAAGAGAAGGTGGATGAGATGCTTTATTTCTGTAGAATAAAGTCTTTGCAAACATGAAGAAAACAAACGAAATGCTGGGATGCGCTGGTCCCATCAGCAGCCCTGGAAGTCAAACCTTTACACAAAACAGCCGAAGGAAGTCTTTCAAATACTTGTTTATATTATCTCTGCACACCACAATCTGTTTTTGGTTTTAGTTTGGTTTTTGTTTGATTTTGTTGGTTTTTTTTTTTTTACAAAATACATGTACTTGAAAGCAAAAATTAGTTACTGAGACAAACTCTCCCCCCAGCCCCTCTTGCCTCGCACAGCCTCAGGCACATCGGACCAGAAAGACAATCAGAAAGTCCCAGAAGACACTGCCCAGGTCAAGGGCCCTCCATTTGTACACTGCTAAAAGTGAAGCAAACCCCTTGTACTAAAGCACTTTGTATTCCCTTGGCTTTTTTTAAGACCTACCACCTCTCATGTGTCCGAGCGTGCGCGTGTTTCCCAGGGAGAACGCTGCTAGAACTATTGATTTTTGGTAATGTAGCTGTACTTTCTGAGAGTAAACATGCTACAAGATTTAGAGGACAACCACAGACATTTTTTTCTGCTCTCGTTTCAAGCTGGCTTCTCACCGATGCTTCTTTGCTCCCTGCGGCTTCCCACGACAGAAGCCACTGGACGCCAGGCGTGGGGATCACAGCCGAGCCACTGTACAGTCGAGATCTGCCTCCGGCAGTGGGGAGGAAGGCCCCTCAAACATCATCCTCCGAGACCCCCAAAACACCAGGAGCTGGCTTCCCGTCATGAAAGCATCCTGCGCTCGGGTCCCGGGGGGCTCAGGAAGAGATTGCAGAAGGCCAAGCCTCTACTTTTGACTTTCACTTCTCTTTATCTTGGGGAGAAGCCAAGCAGAGCCGAGAAAGATATTTATATCTCCCCCCTCTCCCCAGCCACCACGGAAACGCTCCGGTTTTGGAGGAGGCCAGTAGCACAGCTGATGAAACGCCTCCTATAAAAGCATTTTACCCTTTTTTATTCTGGGCCAGGAAAGAAGATACCTGGAGGTTGTTACGCTTCATGTGCAAATGCCGATAACCCTAAGACTTGCCTAGTTCCCCTCCTGTCCCTTCCCCTGGGTGCCAAGGGCCCACCTTTCTCCAAAAAGGCTGCAGGGAGCACGAGGAGGCACGGATCAGGAGCAGCTAGGAGGGAGGCGGGGGGAGGAAAAACGCAATCACCCGCGCACGGTTACCAAAAGCCATGTCATTTGATTGGAGAGGGACACAAGGCTCAGCAAAAGCACAGTAATTCTATAAATCCGAACACACTGAAGGATTTACATCCTCGCTGCCTAAAGAATAAATAAGAGGTTGGGGGTTGGGATTTTTTTTTTTTTTAGATATTATAAATGAAAATCAACCTGATGGAGGTAAAGGTCAGCTTACGAAGTCAACACCACGCATGCCATGCAAGCTACTAACTCCCATCAAGGGAATAGCACTTAACAGACTAAGTGCCCTCTGTCTCCCTGCTGCCTTCCCAAATTAAATTAAAACCAAATGAGGAAAGAGCATTGTTAACTTTTAACCCCAGACCCAGCACCTCTCAGCAAACATGCCGGAGATGTGCCCTATCTTTCACAGCCACAGACTCAGAAACCACTCAGCGAGGATGCCTAGAAGGACAGGGCATCTCCCAGAGGGAGGAAGCGGGTGCCTAGAGAGCAGCACAGCATCCTCCTGGGAGCAGCATCCCAGGACCTGCAGGGGATGGCAGGGACTGCACCTGTGCCGCCTTCCCCAAAAGCCATAAGCCCCTGAGAGAGGGAGCGTACTGATCTATGGATAACCCATATTTCACATCAGCCTGCAAACTACTGTAGGGCCACGTGTGCCAGCACTCCTCCTTCTTCCTCTCCCTTCTGGGGGGCTGGGTCCAAGGACACAACCGCACAGGTAATGATGAAAGGCAGGCAGCCCTGCGGTAGCTCCCAGAAAGCAAGCTTTTCTCCATTTCTCCCCCAAAGTCATTTATTCTGAGCCAGGAAGAGCCAGCAGCACGCCTATCATTTCTAACACCCCAATTTCTCTCATTTAAGACAATTCCATTCAGATGTTGGAAACCCTTCTTCCTCCAAGGTCCGTTCCCCTCTATTACCCACAAATTACAAAGCAGGGCTCCCTTGGGGTGCGACAATCATTTTTTAAAGGAAGACAGAGGCTGAAGACTTGTTTGGGGAGAGAAAGAATCACACATCAAACGGCTTGCTCCTTGCAAACCTGAGCCAAAAATGCTAGTACAAACTTCAGCCCCCAAACCACAACAACTTCCTTATCAAAGGCAGAGCAACAGATCAAAACCAGGATGCCTCTTTTCCGCATTTTTTCCCCCTTTTGCCTAAGCCTGTAAAGTAGGTTTTACCGAAGCACTGGTAGAAACAAATGCAAAGGAGGACGATTCCTCGATGAAGCAGTTAAAACGTGTGTCTAAATGA